TACAGACATTTCAAGTATAGTTATTGTATATACTCGCGTATAGGCTAACCCATACTATACACTGTTCCCACCCTTGAAGTATGTCACAACTAGTGAGCAATTCACACCTAACAAACCAACCCTGCGCCCCTTTCCCCAAACTCCTCTCATTTCAGTGCAAACCAGCATCCTCTGTTAGAGATCTCAGCAGCCTCTCTGATTCCAGGGTTACTTTCCCAAACTCAGACCCCATTTCCTTTCCATCTCTTCCACTGGTCTGCCACTGATTCAATGGCTGTAATAGCCATAGTGAAACCACTAGCCAGACCTGCAGACAAAACTTCTCTCCCTCCCCCCACACTCCCCACCAGACAATTCAAAATTTTAGCATAAAATTTCTCAGCATATACGCAAATATATATATATATATTTCAGCCCTAAACCCCCATAGTCTTCACAAAATAATGTAATGAGAACCTCAGTATAGCTAACATATAAGTGCATCATCAAGTTAGTTGTGTTATTCCCCCTTCACTTTCTCCACGTCTTGAAACACTACTCTTTTCTAGGCAGTTTTAGGAAGAGTTGCCTGAGCAAGCGTATTTTCCTGCATGTCAACTACACTGCTTCAGCTGTCTCCTCCTGCCACACACACACACATGTATGTGCACATGCCTTTTTCTGCTGGGAGCCAGCAAAAGTGAAATGCTAGAGTCACTGCCGCTCCCTCTCAGCCCACCCTTTCCCTGCTTTTTTTCTCTGCTTCCTGGAATCATGAGCAAGGATATCCAACTCCGACATCACTGTAAAGTGCAATGGCCAGGAATGGAGAAGAATGGGAGGAGCGAGAACATGGAAAAAGAGATAAAAGGGGAGGGGTTGGAAAGAGAGGAGGAAGAGAGGAAACCAAAGAGGTGGCACTTGTCACCAGTGCTGCACTACTCACAACTCCAGTATCCCACAAACTAAGGACGACCCAGGAGAGTAGCCGATGGGATGATCCCACCCCACCCTCCCATGCTCCATATATACCCCCAGTCCCTCCCCGCACTCCTCCTCTCTCACTCAAACATCAGACTCAATACTGGAGAGTTTCTCATAAACATGCCCGTTGCTGGAGCCATTGAAAGCCCTGGGGTTTTTGTTGTTAGGCACACAGGGGTTGGACTGGTTCCCTATACAGATGTCCTTCTGGAAACGGGCTGGCACAGCCCCATGAAGGGCTGAGACCACCGGCTTGTTGGTGGTGACGATGGCTCGGAAGTCTGGCCTGGCTTTGGGCCCTCCTGCCACCACAGGCTGCCTGAAGAAATAAGATTTGCTGCCGTGGAGCAAGCATTGGTCATCCCCAAAAGTGGGGATGAAAGGGTTTTGGGTGACCCGGTCGGGGTAGAGTGACTTGCTGAGCATGTAGCCCCCACTGCTGCCAGGGTTGTTGTGGTGGTGGTAGCTGGTGGCGGGCACTGAGGACTTGTTGTTGGCAAAGGTGGTCTCACTGGCTGGCATCTCAAACATGTGGGCATAGGGGCTTCCCTCCAAAAATCGGCCCTTGTCCTTGAGGCTGACACTGCGGGGGGCCAGGGCCGAGTCATCCTTCTGCAGGTCCACAAAGGTGTCGTAGGAGTGCTGCCGGCGAAGCTTGTTGCGGTTCTTCTTCTGCACCTTGGAGGCAGAATTGGAAGGGCTCTGAGGATATTTGGAGGAGGAGGTGGCACTAGTGGCCACGGGCACGGGGGCAGGTGGCTGGTCCAGCTCTTGGAGCGAGTTATCCTCACTGATGTCATACAGGTTGCCCGCTTTCTTGCAGGCCTCGCAGCGGATGCAGGCCTGGCGAGTGGAGTTCTGCCCCACCACCGACGGTGTGTAGTTGTGCAGCTTAGAAGGGCAACTGCGGCAGAAATTAGTCCCGCTCCGGTCCTCCCAGTCTAGGTTGGTCAGGTTCTTCTCCCATGGCGCCGGGACCCCGCTCACAACACCATGCTTGTGCTCGTTGCCTCCGCCAAACTCGCCCGAGCCATGCTTGTGGTGGGCCCTGTTGGTGCAGGATCCACCCCCTCCTCCTCCCGTGTCACGCTTAAACTCATCTCCCCGCTCTTTGTAGATATCCGTCAGGTCCACATGTTCCCAGTGTGGAGAGTTCTCCTTGGCCCGAAACTGGTCCAGGTAGAAGTCCCGTAGCCCTTCCTTGTCCCTGAAGTAGCGCTTATGGTCGGGTGAGCGGGGTGGGCGCCGGCGGTAGGCCAGCTCTATCTCGTCAAACTCCCGCCGGGACTTGGCGGAGGCCGGGCGCTTCTTCAGGCTGTCCTTGTACTGCTGCTTCCGCCTCTTGGCCGCATTGCCCTCGATGTTGCCATAGGTGACTGTGTGAGTGGAAATGTCAGAGACGTCTGAGCGGATCAGGTCATCATGGGCCCCACTGCCCCCATAGCGGTCACTCTTGAAGGAGAACTTGCCGTAAAGGTCACCCAGCTGGCTGTGCTTAGCAGGGGGTAACCCCAGGTCCAAGGGCTTCTTCCCAATGGACCGCGACTGGGCATTGAAGGGTGGGTTGTCACAGTCATAGAGCCCGTCGATGGAGCTGGTGCTGCCAATGCTGTGGGGGCGGTGGTGGTGGTGGTAGTGGTCCTGATACACGTTGCTGTCCTTCAGCTGGAGGTTGCCAAAGGTCCTTTCCACCTCACTAATATAGTCACTAAAGAGGTTCTCCTCACAGGGGGGGTTGTTGTAGGACTTACAGTCTGAGTGGGTGAAGCTGCGGCGGTGCTCAGAGATATCATAGACTGAAGACTCACGACGGATAAAGTCCAGGGCACTCTGTGGTGAGCCATTGACCCCTGACAGGTTGGCCATGTTCTTGGCTGTCCGAAGGAGGCGGAGGATGTTGGAATGGGTGTTGTTCATAGTCGCCGTGGGGGAATTCATTGCTGACTGGCGTTCCTCGATAGCCACGCCGTGGATGCAGCTGTAGATGCCCTGAAATGAGAGAAACCAGGAGGGTGAGTGGTCCTGCAAAGAATACACAAAAGGGGACCTGGACTGGGAGGTATCCTGTGCAGCAACAGCATGTTCCTTTAGGACAGCAAGGCCTGTAAGCCTTCTGTAACGAAGCACAATTGAATCAAATGAAATCAGACCTGCTCTACCAACAGTTACTGTTCTGCCCCTCTTTCTTATCCCTCACATTTTTTCCTTCCTCTCTATTCCTCTTTATCTGCTTTGCTTCATGTCATATCTGTAGGATGCAGGGATACCTGCTTGCATCTATAAGAGTTACTCAAATCTAGTAGGTGTAAAACAGATTTACAAATGGGGAAATTAATATCTTTGGGAACAAAAGCATCAAGACAAATTATTCTGTGTGGATGAGAGGAAAAAAGTCTGGTTTGGCCTCTGAAATTCATCTGGACATCAGTGAATCAATGAGACAGAAGCTATCTTAAAAAGGGAACAGCTTCATTTGTCATAAACTTAGCTACATTAATCACCAGTACAGATTAGAAAAGGAAACAGAAAAAGAGCAGGACTGCCAAATAGGTATTTAGGTCTTTTGCATCTGGTTGAGTGAGGTACAATAGAATTTTTAATTGCATTGTTAAATTTAACAGTGATAGCAGGCTCCAAATTGACATTTCTGAAAAAGAAAGTCCTCTATTCAACCTCAAATCAGACAGCTAAAGTGCCTGATTCCTCCACATTCCCCACTAGCTCATTTCATCCATGACACAGACTGTTTGCAAAGGCTACCCCTAGGAGCAGAAGGAAAGGGGCTCATTTGTTCCCTGGACAGCCAAATGGCACCTCCTGATTAATATCAGTTGTGAAATGGACACCATCACATCATGTTACCATGGTTTCTCAGCAGCTAGCAGATGATTAAAACTTTTCAGACTTTTCACCAACCTGGCCTAGGTCTAACAGATAACCACAGAATGAAAGAATCTGTACTTAGCTAAGGATCACCAAACACAATCCCCCATTTCATCTCCAGACTAAACCAGGTTAGAAACTAACGATATAGAAGAGGGGCTGTGCCCCTGGATTCAAAAGGCTTTGTCATTTCTTCTCAACAATATGTTATGTAGCAATTATATACTCCTTACACAGTCAAAGTTAATTCTGTTACATCAGACACTGAGGTCAAAAATGCTGAGATTTTACCTCAGTTCAGAATGGATCAGAAGAAGGGACCAGTGGCTTGAAAGAAGGAAAAAAAGCTCCAAATGGGAAAATGTTAGCTACACTAGTAGCAGAAAGATGACTCAGAAATTACTAGAATCTGCTTTAAATGTAAATATTATACCCTAAGGCAGATTTGCATAAAGCAATTGCTAAGTTCATGTGGTCATCCTCTCTGGAAGGATTTATGCATGGTTTAGGGTATAGTTTTTGGTTAGAGACTTCTGACTGTCCGTGATAGCACACTTCTAGTTAACATAAGGTCAGCTGAACAGCTGTATATAGAGGACAATGAAAAACTCCTGAACTTGTAAACATGTTATCCACTGTTACTTGACTTGTCGTCCCCAAATTTCACATTCTCACAACTCACTCTGGAGGAGCAGTTACAGTTAACTTCTCTTTATACTGCATTTTCATTTCCATGTGAAATTTCTGTGATCATAATCCAGCAGAGACCAGAGATGTCACAGAACAATATTAGATGCTCTTGCAACATTAATGGTGAAAGGATGCCAGCCTTTATCCTGCAGACCACCACCCTACGCCACCCGTTTGTTAGACAGTCTTGGTGGACTTCTCCATCTCCAGTACCTAGAACTGTCTGAATAAATCCTCTGTTCCCCACCGGATAGCTAATAACACTCACCCTGCTGATGGAGAAGACCACACCGGGCTTGCCAGAGCAGACACCCATGAAGCAGTGTCGGAACTGCCAGTAGAAGAGGTGCTCGCAAATGAAGGTGATGAGACTGAGGGCCATGGCTGCTCCCAGCATGTAGAAGACACCTGCCATGTTATCTATATCCAGCTGGCTGCTCATAACCTCATTCTTCTCATTGTGACAAATGCCAGTAAGCCACAGCGCTTCCAGCTCCTCCATCTCCCCTAGAAAGACAGAGAGAAAGAAAGAAACAGGTTAGATAGCCCTGCAATGGGTAAAGAGGTCAAGCTGGGGCAGACTGAAAGCAAGAAGCTGATCTAAGGTAATTTCCAGCAGCCATGTTCTTTTTCCACATCTGTGATGTCCATGAAATATCCTGACTGCCATTCTGAAAGAAGCAGGTGCAATTTGTCACAGGAAAGGCAACAGGATTTTTCCACAGCCAAATATTAGCCATGAAAAGCTATACCACAGGCCACAGCTATCACACTTGCCAAATGTCTACACTGAGATCCTGAAAAAGTTGTCCACTAGATGACTGAAGACCTGTCCCCCCACAAACTTCCACTTTCATATTAGGTCAGTGAAGGGAAAAATCAGTAACTGATACTGGTAAGACAAAAAGGAGTCATTTCTAAATTAAAACATTGTACATTTCCAGCTCAAAATTCAAAATGTTTTTTTTATAACAAAATGTCTGATTTTGAATTTGTTTCCATCCTATCCATAGCTCATTAAAACTAGGTGCAATGTTCCCAAAAATATTTCTGCATTTTTACTTTTTTTCTTTTCTCTTCAATTTTGTCCAAATTCAACACTTTCAAGCCCTTTGACCGATCAAAAATATTACTAATTTGTATCATCTAGGAATAAATGTTCTGTAGTCTAATTTCATACCCCACTTACTCCCATTACGGTATTTTCATGAGGGGAGAGAGAGAGAGAGAGATAAACACTCAAACACACACACATACTGAAACATTCAGAAACAAACTAATTTTGTAGGTTGGCAATTCTTTTCATGCTGTTAGGAAAGTTAGTTTTTCACATTTTCAACCTCCAGTCCAGTGACGGGGGAAAAAATACATATATTTATGTGGCACCATGGCAGACTCTTTAAAACTTTATGGAGAACTTATGTCTTTTTCTGAAATAATACATATTAGGCTGTTTAGGAGACAGAACACTCTGTCCATCAGATGGCCAATTTTCTGCTGAAGTATATCAGAGCTATGTTCTTTCTGTATTTATTATACCATATTTTTGTTCCAATTTCAGAAAAAAAGAAAGACTTATAAATAAAATAACCTGTGAATTGTATTTATTCAAAAAAGCCATAGCAAGATGTAATATGTAATGGAAAGGGAAAGCCAGGAAACTATTTTCTAAGAAGGAATTCCTTATCCCACAAATATTTATTTTTAATAGTAGCAATTTCTCTCTAAAGGATGAGATGAACTAGGTAACTATAATGTTCTGATTAAAAACTCACTCCATAATATGCTTCTGAGTCTCAAGTCTTCCTTTGTGGTTTTTTTTTGTTTGTTTTGTTTTGGTTTTTTTGAGGTTTTGGAATATCTGAGTTAACTCTTTCATCTAGAAATATTTATCCTTTAATTTTGTAAACTCTGCATGGATTGATCCTGTCTAGAACTACAAATTATGGGATGACCACAGAAAGTCCAATAAAATTAGTGGGTTGGTCATGGCAAAACTACAAAGGTAGTGAAAAGTTCACAACAGAAAACGCATTTTTACAAGACATTCTTTGCATAAGATATTTTTCAAACACACACCTGAGCTGGTTCTATGAAACCTTTAGTGCTTTTAACATTGCTTTGGATGATACTGTTACCCTGCATCAACAACATAAAACATGTGACATCCTCACTCTTTTGGTGTAATGCCTCTAACAAAACTGAAAGCTCGGATGGACCAGAGCTAAGAACTTCTATTTCTTACATGCAAAACTTGGTATTTCTTAGGAAAACTCCAGCTCCTCTTTTTCTTGTCACTTACCATCTCCAAAGAGCTGTAGAATGGCAAGATCAACCTGACGCTTCCAGCCCGAGTCCTTTTGGATGGCAATGCCATAGCCAGTAGAGGCAAACACTTTCCCACTCCCAATTGTCACCAGCTTGCAGCCTTCATCTCTGCCAGCCATGTAGTTTAGCACTGCTGCATCATAAATGAAAGCATCCAACTTCCTGTACAGGTGCAAGAAACAAGAGGGTTATAGTATAGAAAAGATAGAATCTGTACAAGTTCAAAGGTGTTCTCAGGTAATTAAGGCAGAAAAGAACCTCTTTCAGATAGACTACAATAGGTTGCATCTTCACCTTCATCAGAGTTAAACTAAAATCTGAGCCTAGAACCTCTTTACAGGTGAAGCTACATTATAAATGAGGACTGTCTATTTCTTTCTGACTCTTTGATAATCATCCTTTCTGATCTGAAAGAAAATTTGGAATACAAACATACTGCAAGATAAAGATGAATGAAGAGGAAGTCAAGAGGATATATAGTCCTAAGAATAGCTTATATTTCTGTACTGCCTTTCATTTCAAAGGAACCCAAAATGCTTTATAAAGTGAATTGATATTAGATAGTAAAGTAGGGGTTGGAGTAAGGAAAATATTATCTCTCATTCAAACTGTTGGCATGACTTATCTGAGCAAAATTTTTTTTTTCACATTAAATATAGTCAGGACATCATGTTTAACTCCTTGGTCACTGTGAAAAGCACTGCTGGATCTTTATCAATGTCAAGTGGCCACAACAGCAGCTTTATGATTTACCATGCTGAGTAGCTCTTTGGTGAAGAGTGCTTAGCTGAAAACCACAAGAAAAATTCTGTTTCAACACAGAGAAATCCCCATTATGAGCTGGGATGGGTAGACAGCACAACAGACTGCTGAGACCCTTTCTCTCACTGCAACAAACTGATTTGGGTGTGGGGGCAGTCTCAGGGGGCTACATCTTCCACATAACCAAAGACAGACGATAAGTAAATCCTCCCACTAGATCTGAAATGAAGCACTTTCCATTAAAGAAAACCGAAGACCTTCCACCTTGCACATTCTCACACCCACACTACCTTTTCAATCCACCTCCTGCATGTATATTTCCAGTATGGTGATTATCTCAGTTCAAGTGTGTATCTGTGTGGAATTCTGTCCAAGGGTGAATGTGAAGCCAGGATGACATCTACCGCAAGTGATGAGCTCTATTTCATCCATATATTTCCAGGACAGAGCATATTTATTTCCTGGGTGATGACTATCCTGGCAAATGAACCTGCCCAGGATGACATCCAACAATGGTAAAATTATTTATAATGGGCTGTGTGCCTCTGAACCTGGCAAACAGGTTTAGGAATACTCAGTCAATCTAGTAATTAAATTGGCTGAACATCTTCATTCGTGGTTTGGAATGAACTTTCTCGTAAGAGTGCAACAAGAGTGTAAGCAAGAATGTTTTTTTTTCACTGGGGCTGGGCTCTGACAACTAAAATGGTCAGCTCTGGGAGGAGGTCTTTCATTATAAAGGACAAAAGCTTGCAAAATGGGGTTTTAAGTTAGCACCTTTACAGATTCACTGCTATTAAAATAGGATGAGCTATTCAAGCATACTTTTTGCTAATGGTTTTTCACACAAATTACCCAAGGAAATGCTCACATTTTATATGCTTCCTTATTATTCAAACAACATTTTTTTCAGCCCTTGATACTAAAATATTCCAGAGAGAAGGGCTACTTCCAAACTATTTGCTTCAAGCACACCTTCCATTACGCTATATTAGCTAGTGATACACCAGGGCAGGATTAGTTTGACAAGGATTGTTTCATCTCCCTGATTAACATAATCTTTTATACACAGAAGGAGGGGAAACAAAGGAATTTCCAGTTGACAATATAAATGTTCTGAAAAAAACCTTGTCCACAGAGGCCTGTGAGCTTTTCCTGACCCATCAGTATGAAATATCTTGATGAAGCAAGGTCATCAGGACTAATATACACAAGGCTAGCATACACAAGGATACAGGTGATCCTTTTTTTTTTTTTTTTTTTAATAGTCTTATAAACACAGCAAAACCAGAAACACTTATGTAAATAGATGTAAATAGAAAAACCTAGCTGAGAGAACCACAAAATTATTTTCCGGTGCTGTGTATGGTCTTGCTATACTTTTAACCATGGAATGATAATGTAGGCTCATTTTCCAAAACCCACAAAAAAATTTCTAGACAAGCTGCAAAGTAGTCAGGTTTCTGTGGTGCGTAAGTATGGAAGAAGAAAGCCTCACCCAGTCTTCAGTGAGAACAGTGCATCATCCACCCCCCTCTGATTGAACTTCACCATGTAGCTGTGCATTTCAGGGTAGTTGTTGCGAATGTTCCTTTCTGTGCTGCCATTGGGAACCGTCCCAAAGCGGAAAGGTGGGGAGAAGTCATTTGGTTTCTGGAACTGGAGAGACAAAAAAAGAACATTTCTCACAGTCTTTCAGCAAGAAGCATTCATCTGAATGGGAGAACACACTCTCCTCAGAAGGTAGTTCTGCTTTTATTTTACTATCATGTAAAAAACATTATTGATAAGATATTATATTTCACTGTTTTCAAACACAAACATCTCCTGATAGTGCCTAAGAACCAAGAAGTGAATCTGAGTAACCTAGTCTTTTTGTCCACTCTGGATTAAGTGCATAAAATAGCCAGTGATCAAAGATTAAAAGGAAGTTAGATAAAAGGAAAAAGGAAAAGAAAACAGCACCTTCGGAACACAGTCAAGAAAAGATTTTTCAATAAAATCTATGTGCATTTTATCCACAAAGTGTCATTTAGTTTCTAAGAAATATCTTTTTCAGCTCTGTGGATGCCTTTGCACTTCCTGATTCCAACCAAAGGAGAAAAGTAATTAATGAGGAGAGATGCCTCTCAGAAAACCTCACACCCACTTCAACAAATGAATGATAAGCTTTCAAACTTTTGGGCAAATGTCCCAAATGAAATGCTATTAGTGGCTGTAAGTCACTAGTAACATTTGATGCCCAGAACAGAGCTGGCAGAATACTCCAAACCTTTTGCTGCTCCCAAGAAATACATTCATCATAACATTCCCCTACAGCTGCAAGGCTATGAGATTTTATATGCCACTTGCTTAACTCAAGTCATAATCAATGCTCTCTGAGGTTTTATGAGCAGTAAAATTTAGACTGTCAATTATCAAGACTGCTTAAAACCCCTAGAAACAGCAGATGGGAAGGAGCACAGAACTGTAAGCCAGAAACTGAATAAGCAGTAAAGAAAAAGATGCAAAGGTAAGTTAGATGGAGGGAAGCCCCCTCCTCTGTTGACACATCAAGCAGTAGCTTGCCTGGTACTAATTCTTGACTCCCAACTGTGACTGTATATTTGGATAATCCTGAGAAGCAAGCTAAGAACATACTAACAGTCAGACCAAACCCATTTAAAAGCAACAGTTTACCTGGTACATTAATATATGCAGTCCTGTACTGTGACCTTCCATAGTGGAAATATGGCTGTGGTCTACAGCTATAGCTTAAAAAATATGCAGGTGAGCCTTGTTCTTGAGTTCTGCTCAAAGTCAGTTTGGAACCTGGCCAACTCAGATGAGGAGGCCAAAGCCAGTAAAGCAGTGTATCTCATTCACAACATCTCAGTAATAAGACCAACCAGGAGCTGTGTTTGTGGGTAGGTGAATGTACCATTCACATCACCTGTTTCTGTGTACTGGTCAACTCATCTCGCTGTGCAATGAATCATCTCTCCAGTTTGGATAGTGAGATGGGCTTGCTTGTACGTGCATGCATGAGCGTGTGAGCAAGAATACAGGTCCTACTGCTTTAAGCCAATAGAAAATATCAGGGCTGTTTTTTGAAACACAAGTTGGCACATCACCAAAAAAAAAGAGGTTTCATATAGCATAAAAGAGGCAGCAAGGTGGCTCTCAGAACCTTGTCAACAACCCCTAGGGATGAAGACAAACTCATAGCTATCAAAACCTATAATGAAAGCAAACTTTGATGGGAGAAAAATCATTGCAGCATGCTAAAATTATTCTTTTTTACCAAGCTGCTTATAGCAGCAGCTTAGGGGACCCATCACAAGCGGGGCATCGCCATACCAGGCACAAAGGAACAGAGTCTGTCCCCTGACATGCTGAAAAAGGAGTTTGCAAAGTGGGCAACTTGCTTCCCCAGAGGCTGCAGAACCCAGACCTGAGGGCAGATGGGGCACTCCCCATCCCCATAGAGCCCTCCAACAGAGTAAAGTGAGCAGGGCAAGCAGCAGACAGGCCCAGACAACGTTGGTGTGACCTCAGCTTCAGCATGCCCTTTGGAGGGGCAGCAGCTATGAGAGCCTCTCTCTGGGGCCCAGAGAGTGTTAAGAGAAAAAGAGGCTCCATCCAATGTCAGTTTTATACCTCCACCCTCTGTTCCCAGTGATACAATCTCTAGTTTTGTCTGCTTCCATCACTGTGTGTATGAACTAGAGTAAGAAGGATTATAGAGTTAGGCAGGGCTGTGATAAGGGAAACAATCCCAGCTCTGAACTGTCCTTTGTCTCCTATGTGTTCAAGGGCCCATCTTAGCAGCTAGGGGTAAAAGGCTCCGTATTTTATTTTTAGCCTCCTGGGCAATCAATAAATAAATGAAAACATTCCTTTTGAAGGCAATGACTGGTTTTGGCAATGTTTCTAGAGAAGGAAGCCAGACTGGTCGCTTCTACACAACCACATATTGCGCATTCACTCATCATCCCGTGCACCCTGCTCATTCCTCAGTCAAAACAGATCTGCAAATGCAACTTATTCTCCATGCACCCTTGTGCACACACACTTCATCCATAGTCTGGTGGACAATGACACAGGAAACAGTCTGAAAGGATCCGTATGGGACCCACACCAGAGATCTTTAGCTTGAATACCTAAGAGGAACACACATCCCCAGACACCTGTTTTGGTGTTTGTAAAGCTGAAAGTAATTGAAGCCCAGCTGACTCCACAGTTCATGGAGCCAGACAGAGGTAAGCAGCTAACTTCTCCGCATATGAGAAGTAATAGTGGTACATGCATGCAGCTTTCTGTCAGGAGATGGCAGCTGAAAAAACCCCATGTTTGTTGCTCGCCAATAAGTGGGCACAGCTCAGTCTAGGGATGGAGGGATCTCCAAAAGGCTCTCCAGAGGCAAAAACTGCTGCATCTTTCTGAGCTCACTTTGGCCCCACACAGCTCATACTGAAGGAGCAAGAAGACATACAAGCCTTCCCATCAAATACATGGGACAGATGGGGAAGGAGTGTGTCCTCTCCCGGCAACACGGTGGAGGAATATGTGTGGAGGAACTGGAAAAGATCTGTAAGGAGGAAACTTAATTGACACTGTTGTCAAAGAGTTCAGTAAGGAAAGCCACTTGTTTGGTTTCTCCTGGGCTGGGAGAGTGGGCCTGGATCAGAAGCATCGGCCCCAGGGAAGCAGGGCATTTTGGCAGGCTGGGCTAGAAAGAGTCTGAGAGACATAAGACAGGAGCTGAGGTACAACGTCAGGGCCATTATGTAGAGGCAGGCTGTGCAGAGGTAAACTCAATGCCTCAGTAAATATCGACAAAGGAATTAACCACAGATATTGACAGAAAGGGTCAGAATTTAGATTAATGAGAGAACTCTCCCATCATTTAATGTAAATGTTTCTCCTGCCAGATCCCTAAGTCACAACTACTCTACCCCAGGCATCTGCAAAGAGGAGCCCTGTGAGGCTCTGGCAAAAAAAATGTGGTGATAACAAGGGAGGGGAAGATAAGTAGCTGCATTGGTTGCTGAGCAAACCCAGCTGCAGAGTCACAGGGAGTGGCAAAAAGGGCTGTACAGGGCCAGCACTTGTCGGAGCACCACCTCACACTTCCCTGCAGCAGGAGCCCTGTCCTGCTCCCCGGCTCTACCTGCCTCGAGGGGTGACTGCCTGGGAGGGAACCCACACGACTCAGCTGCAGCTCCACACCCAAAGAGCCCCGGACAGAGGTGTACCCCACCTGCAGCCTCCTGCTAGCTCACCATGGGGTCTCAGTTGTGAGATGCTCCCCTTGTGCCCAAGGTGATGTGACACACTCTCTCCCATGAGATAATTCCTTACAGAGCTGGCTTCACATAAAATGTGGGGGATCAGTGGATGCTAGAGAAGGGGGTGGGAAGCAGACACCAAGCATGCCTGACCTTAATGATTCTATGAAGGGCTGGGGTAGCTTTGAGACATGAGTTGTCTGTGTCCAGAGCTCAGGGGCTGCTCGTCTCTTCAATCCCTCACTCCACAAACTGAAATCAAGAAGCATTAAGTCCAAATCAGACAACAGCTTTGTGAAAGTAACCTCTCAGAGTCAGAAAGCAGAAACCTTCCTGCTCTGGAGAGTGATAAACACACAGGCTGGGGGCTATTATCACATTCAGAGTGGAGAGCCCCTTTCCCGCTCCCCCCGGCAACTCGCCATGAGAGCTGTCGGCAGCAGCAGCGAGAGCAAGTTTAAGTGACTTGTCTGGCAGAGCTGTTTCATTAGCGATTTGGAGCCGTGCCGTGCAGAAAGCAGTATTGTTCTCAGATGTTCGAATATCAATCTGCATAATGAAACAGGTGATAGGAGCTCTTCCCATTCAGGCAGCAGCAATTGGAGGGGATTCAGGGATGAGGGGAAGGGGTTATGTCTAATTGGCCACAATTAATTTGATGAGAATTTTTTTTTCAATATATTGTCTATCACCAAATGGATCCTAGAGAAAAGCGCATCTGCACTTATTTATCTGCCTGATGTAGGCCCTGTTTACACTGTAAAGTGTTTGCCAATACTATTGAAAGCAGTTTCCCAAACTCAGCAAGCTCTCACAACAAAAAGGCTCTTTTTTAATCAATCTGCTTTTACACTGCTTTAAAAAAAAATAATCCCCTGCTGGATAACATAATGAGCTAGCAAAACTTGGTGTGAGTGTGTGTGTGTGTCCATGTGTAACGCCCTACCCTTACAGAGCTTCTCTGGGAGGGCTCCTTTCACTTTGTAAAGCCCAGACCCTCAGTTTATATCTTCCACCACAGGAAGCTCCACAGATCTGACCCACCAAAATAAGGTCCCCAAGTTCAGCTCCTCTGTTAGCTACAAGCCCAAAAGATCTTGAGCCCATGTTACATACTCTGGGTTCACTTCATTTGCTCAAGTGTTAAGTGCCAAGTTGAGATGCCCCAGGGAATTTCACCCTGGAAGCTGGTCTCTCATAGCCCCTGTGTCAGATTTGTCAGCCACCTGAGGGTATTTTGGATACTCCAGTGCACCTAAATTAGCTCTAAACATCTACATTTGCACAGCTGAATCTAGCCACTGGACCATTTGGCCCTCAGGACAGTTTCTCCCACCAGAAGTGCAGGGAGACAGCCACTGTGGGTAACAGACAGCCCAAAGTGCCCTC